CCCCAAAACCCCAAAACCCCAAAACCCCAAAACCCCATCCAATCAAAAGGAGGTTGAATCATCAATGTTTTATCCTAAAATAGTTATTCTTGTTTTTCTTCTTCAGGTTCTCCCGTCATCATACTTCTGTGGTGTTCAACTTGCTTTTCATATTCGATGTTATGAGATTTGGAGGTATCGAGTTCTCCAAAGGAGTAACCTCCTTCTCCGTCAAATTGGAGGAGGAAGTCATGATGCTTCCATAGAGATGGTCTGTGAGAGACGGTAATCAAAGTGATTCCTCTTCTTTTAGCTTCAGTGTAGATGACGTCTTCAGCATCAACGGCAACAGCAGAACTGCATTCATCTAGAATAGCGAAGGCAGGCTTGTGGTAGTATAATCTAGCAATAGCCATTCTCTGCTTCTCACCACCTGAAAGCACATCAGTCCAGTTTCTTTCAGTATTGAGTCCTCCTTCTCTTTCTACGATGTAGTCCAAGGTAAGGATTTTTAGGATATCTCTGAGTTTCTTGTCGGTCATTCTCTTCTTAGTCATCTCGATTTTTCTATCAGGGTAGATGATTTGGTCTCTGAGACTTCCCTTTGGTAAATATGGGACTTGAGGAACATAGAAGATAGAAGCCTGTCTCTCTGGCTTAGAGATCGAGCCTGCAAATAATGGCCAGAGCTCTCCCATAATACGGAAGACAGAACTCTTTCCACATCCATTTGGTCCGTCAACCATGAGATGCATTCCTTTGTTTAGTTCAAAGGAGACTTCCTTGATCAAAATGTCACCATTTGGAGCTAGGATTGGTACTTTATCCATCACTAATTTATCATCAGCTGCTATATATTCTCCTCTCTCGCTGACTAGGTTTGGGTTGATCATAGTTCTCTGGTATTTTCCAACCTTGAGGTCATTCAAGACGATCTCAAGTTCATCCATGAGAGTGGTATATCCTGCTAAGTTCTGCAATTCTTTGTACGAAATGATGAATTTACCAATAGCTTTTGAGAGATTAATCAATAAAGAGGTATTTCTAACATAATCTCCTGCTATTTTTGATTTGTCTCCCTTGGTTTCTTCGAGGTATTTCTTTGATCTTGGGCCAAATACAGGCATTCCGAGGACTAGGTACCCCCCGTAGTAAGAGCCGTACTTGACCAGCATTGAGTCAAAAATTCCCATCCAGAATTGCTTCTTGATGATCTCGATGCAGTGCTCGTAGAGATTACTAAAAGTTTTGGTGATTCTTCTGATCTCCCATTTTCCGCCATTGTAGAAGGCAATTTCCTCTGAGTGATTCAGGATGTCGAAGTGTTGTCCCCTGTATTCTCCTTCAAGCTTTTGTCTGATAGCCGTCAGAGTTCCGAATGATGGAGAGATGTATCTGAGGAGCACTGCTGACATGGCATACCATCAGAATGGTAGGGCGACTCCGTACCCACCTACAACTCCGTAGAGTCTCTTACTGAACAACACAATATCAAGGAGAGGTTTAGAGAAATTAGAGTACAAATTCGAAAGACTGATTGCCCATTTCTGAATGTCCACAGTTAATCTTTGATCTGGATTCATAATCCTATCGTCAAGGTTACAGATTTGATAAAAGAATTTGTCATTAATGTATCTCTCATGATAATGCTTGGTAAGATTTTCTCTGAAGAATAAAGCTATCATTACCATGAGATATTCAAGCAGAGAATTGATGATAGATGAGGGGACTGCGTATAACAAAATAGTGAATAGTCCCTGTACGAATTTATCTTTGTTTCTTTGGATGATCCCGTGCACAACTCCTCCGTTAACTTCTGCAAGTCTGATACTAAGAATGGTCCTCACCACCAAAGCGATTGAGAGTCCGAGAATGTATCCGGTCTCTCTGCTCTTCCATCCGGGAATTGCTATTCTTAAGAATTTGAGAAGCTTCTTCAAGAAGTTCTTGTCTACAGCTCCCTTGGGTTTTGATGGTCCCTTTTTAACAAACAGGTCGGCTTCTTTTTCTAAATCTTTTAAGTTTGATTTATTGCTCTGAAGTCTCCTCTTCAGGTAATAAAGTGCAAGAGCAGCTCCTATAATTGCGAGAGAGCCTCTGGTTTTGTTTTGGAATTTAAAGAACCTAATAAAAGCCAATGCACCGTCTGCTATACTTGTCGCGTCTAAAGCAGGCATATTTCTTTTTGCTATTACGTAATTTTTAAATTAGTTCAACCTCACACTCTTAAAGCGGGGTTTTGGGGTTTTGGGGTTTTGGGGTTTTGGGGTTTTGGGG